TACTATAGCATTTATCGACTGTAATACCTATTTAATTTGAAGCCCAGGCCAACTTACCTTGGAGTTAGCACATCATTTATAAATATCAACCACATACAAAAAGCACCACATTGGGTGTTAGGTTATATTCTGGGTTATCCCATCTTACTTATGATTTAGCTGAGCACCAAGGAATATTAGACTAAGAAACATATGTTAGAATTTATCTGGACAAGTAAAATAATTATTTTGAAAAATCTTCAAAGCTTCATTAGAGTTCTGTATTATTTGTATTTTCAGGTTTCCTTTAAAGTAATACAAGTTACTTTGAAAATCTTTGGGAGAATAAAGATAACAAAGTTTTTGTAACAAACTAAATTCCTGCTGCATTCAATCCTGTCAGGTCTGCTATAAAGAAAAATTGGGAAATCCTTGGTGGTCCCGTGGTTAGAACTTGGCGCTTTCACTGCTATGGCCCAGGTTTGACCCCTGGTCAGGAAACTAAGATCCCACAAGCTGCATGGCATGGCCAAAAATAAATTTTTAAAAAAGTGAAAACCAAAAAACCCCTTAGTATTTCATGAGATTAAGTTCTTTTCTTTCAATTAAAATAATTTGAATCAGAATGGGCTTGTGAAAAGCAGCTTTTCTGGAATAAAGTGCAAGTGGTAAAAAAATGAAATCAAAAGACTATTTCCTGATATGCAAAAATTACATGAAATTCAAATTTCATTGTCCATACAGCTTTACTGGAACACAGCCATGTCTGTTTATGTACTGTCCATGGCTGCTGGTATATTACAACAGCATAGTCGCTGCAACAGACTGTATGCCTTGGAAGTTAAATACTATCTTATCTGGCCCTATCAAATTCATATTGGTTAATTTTATTAATTTCATTTCTTGTAGACAATTTAAAATAAGAAAAAAGAGCAGAATATCTAAATATGTAAATTAACATAATAGGCACTTTCTTGTCTGTTTTACAAGGATATTTTTGAGGGACCACATTCATACAGTGCAGTAAGAAAGGTACTTCACTACATTGCTATTAGGAATGTAAAGTGTTAGGCAACACTTTAGGTAACACCTGTTAGGCAACAAGAGTCTCAAAAATCACTTCCAGTGATGTAAGGAATTCGACCATAAGAACATATCACAGTTACTTAAACATTTCCCTATTGATAGCTATGTATGTAATTTTCAACTTTTTACTACTAGAAATATTTTTTTTCATTTATTTTTATTAGTTGGAGGCTAATTACTTTACATCATTACAGTAGTTTTTGTCATACATTGAAATGAATTAGCCATGGATTTACATGTATTCCCCATCCCGGTCCCCCCTCCCACCTCCCTCTCCACCCGATCCCTCTGGGTCTTCCCAGTGCACCAGGCCCGAGCACTTGTCTCATGCACCCAACCTGGGCTGGTGATCTGTTTCACCCTAGATAATATACATGTTTCAATGCTGTTCTCTTGAAACATCCCACCCTCGCCTTCTCCCAGAGTCCACAAGTCTGTTCTATACATCTGAGTCTCTTTTTCTGTTTTGCATATAGGGTTATCGTTACCATCTTTCTAAATTCCATAGATATGTGTTAGTATAGTGTAATGGTCTTTATCTTTCTGGCTTACTTCAGTCTGTATAATGGGCTCCAGTTTCATCCATCTCATTAGAACTGATTCAAATGAATTCTTTTTAATGGCTGATTAATATTCCATGGTGTATATGTACCATAGCTTCCTTATCCATTCATCTGCTGATGGGCATCTAGGTTGCTTCCATGTCCTGGCTATTATAAACAGTGCTGCGATGAACACTGGGGTGCACGCTAGAAATATTTTAATAACTACTGTATGTAACATAAATCATCAAACTGATTGTAAATCTATAGGAGTCAAATTTTACTAGAAACATAATTATGTTTTATACTCTCAGAGAGTTCCTAGGATATAAAGTTGGGCTTGCTGCATCACAGGTTGTGCACATCTTCAATTTTACTAAATATTGCTAATATGTCCTCTAAATTAAGGGCAATTTATCCGATGCCAATTTTTCAGGCATATTAATTGTTGCCAATATGATGGAAAAGAATGAGATCTCACTTATTTTCAACTGCATTTCTTGAATTTCTAGTAAGACTCAGTGTTTGATTTATTGACCATGTTTCCTTTTACAAAATGACTGACCATCTTCTTTGCCCATATTTTTATAACATTCATCTTCATTTACTTTATCCAGTAATTTAAAGGTGAATCCTCATTTTTAAAATTTTTTAATGGAAAGATAATTGCTTTACAGAATTTTGTTTTCTGTCAAACCTTAACATGAGTCAGCCACAGGTATACATATATCCCCTCCCGCTTGAACTTCCCTCCCAGTCGCACCCCTATAGGTTGATACAGAGCCTGTTTGAGGCCTCTGCAAATAAATTCTTTGGTACCACCTTTCTAGATTCCATATATAAGCGTTAGTATATGATATTCATCCTTCTCTTTCTGACTTATTTCACCCTGTACAATAGGCTCTAGGTTCATCCACCTCATTAGAACCAACTCAAATGTGTTCCTTTTTATGGCTGAGTAATATTCCATTGTGTATATGTACAACTTCTTTATCCATTCACCTGTGGATGGACATCTAGGTTGCTTCCATATTCTAGCTATTGTAAATAGTGCTGCAATGAACAATGGGATACATGTCTTTTTCAGTTTTGGTTTCCTCAGGGTATATGCCTAGGAGTGGGATTGCCGGGTCATATGGTGGTTTTATTCCTAGTTTTTTAAGGAATCTCCATACCGTCTTCCATAGTGGCTATTATCAATTTATATTCCCACCAACAGTGCAAGAACGTTCCCTTTTATCCACACTCTCTCCAGCATTTGTTTGTAGACTTTTTGATGATGGCCATTCTGACTGGTATGAGTTGATATCTCATTGTAGTTTTGATTTGCATTTCTCTAATAATGAGCAATGCTGAGCATCTTTTCATGTGTGTGCTAGCCATCTGTATGTGTTCTTTAGAGAAATGTCTGTTCCTCTTTCAAGAACAAATTTTTCCGTAACCACAAGCTTTTCTCCAAGACTCTTTCCACCTTAACTAGATTCAAAATTCCTCTCATACTTCTCTCACAGCCCTCTCAGTAGAAATCTGTTTTTCTTATCAATACCATTGTCACAATTACCTCAAAGATGTAATTATGTCATTCCCTGCCAATAAATTCATATATAGTACCAAAGTGAAAGCTGCTCAGTCATGTCTGACTCTTTGTGACCCCTACGGACTGTATGTAGTCCATGGAATACTCCAGGCCAGAACTGAAGTGGGTAGCTGTTCCCTTCTCCAGGGGATCTTCCCAACCCAGGGACTGAACCCAGGTCTCCCACACTGCAGGTGGATTCTTTACCAGCTGAGTCACCAGGGAAGCCCATATAGTACCAAGTAAGTCCAAATTCCATAATTTGGCTTCCAAAGCCTTCCATAATCTGTCTTCAATATTTTCAGCCTATTACTCATATATATACACACACACATACACATATGCACACACATACTCAATGTACCAAATAAAGTAAGACTGTTTGCCACCCCTCTCAGATATCTCCTGAGTTTTCTAATTCTGTCTTGATTTATGCTGTTTTTGGCACCCAAGTGTTTATTGGAAATTCTTACCTCAAGGAAAGTTCTTCCTTACAAAGTAATGCCATTAAATAAATACAGTTGACCCTTCAAGACCTCTGTGATCTGGGGTGCCCACCCTCCCTGCAGTTGAAAATCCTCATATAACTTTACAGTCAGCTCTCCACATCAGTGGTTCCACATCCTCAGATTCAGTGAACACATGTAGTATTCAATACTCAGTTCAATTCAGTTCAGTCGCTCAGTCGTGTCCAACTCTTTGCGACCCCATGAATGTCAGCACGCCAGGCCTCCCTGTCCATCACCAACTCCCGGAAATTACTCAAACTCATGTCCATTGAGTCGGTGATGCCATCCAGCCATCTCATCCTCTGTCATCCCNTTGGGGATGAAATGTACAGCATGGGGAATATAGTCAATAATATTGTAATATCTGTGTATGCTGACAGATGGTAACTAGACTTATTGTGATGATCATTTTGTAATGTACAGAAATATCAAATCACTATGTTATACACCTGGAAATAACAGGGTTATAGGTTAACTGTACTTCAGTTTATTTTCTCAATTATTTTTTAAACTGTAGTTGATTTATAATATTATCAGGTGTAACTAAGTTATATATACATACACATATATGTACTTTTTAAGATTCTTTTCCATTATAGGTTATTATAAGATGCTGAGTACAGTTGTTATACGTTATTGTAAGGTACTGAATATAGTTCCCTGAGCTATACAGCATGTCTTTATTGTTTATCTCTTATATATAGTAGTGTATATCTCTTAATCCCAAGTTCTCTACACTTCAATTTTTAAAAAGGTTAAATGTGAACGATGAAGAAAAACAGAAGACACCTTTTCCATATTAAAGAATATTAAATACAATACATGCTTCTTCACTGGATCCTGAACTAGGGGAAAATGCGATAAAGAACATTACTGGGAAAACTGATGAAATTATAGATGTGGACTACAGATTTAGAATGTGTGCTTAGTAATAATTTACTGAAGTAAAGAGCTTTCATTCCAAGAATCCACATACATCCCCACCACATCAAAGGAATACACTGATACATTTGCCTGGGAAAAGAAAATGACAGGGCTAATATGCTGAAACAGTGTCTTCAGCACTGCAGATTCAAAACGACCAATTAACAGTGCTGATAATGTTCCACGAAACCATTACCACTCACCTTACTTCAAGAACAAACATGGATTTGGGTCCTCATGTGATTTTTCAATAAAGGCTTCAAGATTCTAATACTGAACAGAAGAAGTTTAGATGCCAAAGGAAAGAATTGCAAAAGACTGTTATCTATAAAAATTTTACATTCTTAAATTTTACCGAAAAATAACTAAAAACACACATTATGATACCTTTTGAATTTGAACACTAATACCTTTATTTAACAGACATTGAATGACTACTATGTGCAAAGCACTGTGTTAGGTGCCATGAAAGATACAAAGATGAAAAAGACACAGTCCCTGCCCACAGGAGCGTATAATCTAGTGGGGAGACCGACAAATACACAAATAACGAGAATACAAGGCAGTGAACAACAGTGGACAAGTGCTGAGTGTGGCAATAACTAGCCTCAAGGTTCCAATTTGAAACACTGGTGATGTAGAGTTAGCTGCTTTGAAAATCCCATTTCAAGATCAGCATAATAAATGTTTAAATGGTCCTATCCAAGCAGCTGGAGGCAAGACAATAGGCCAGGTGGAAGGGCTGTTTGAAAGACTGTCACATTTACATATGTGGTGCTGACACAAGTATGCAGGGACAGCTAAAAAAGACCGCATATATCATCTGTCCTTTGGTTAATGGCTATAGCTACTGTTTTAAACAATATACTTTTATATAAAAAGGAATTTGTATAATTCCAGAAAAGTCAACTTAAGGATTAATATTAATTCAACAAAGAATCTTGCCATAGGCAATTTTCTTATTTACTAATTGATTAAGTATTTTCTCTAAATATCTATAAAGCTCTGTAGCAATTAAACGGTTAGACATCTAAGTATTGCTGAGTAAAAACCTCTTATGTTTAGCCTTCGGAAGGAAATGGTCACAAACCTGATAACCTGATATAATACTACTCTATTAGCAACAAGAAGGCCTTAAAGAGATTTAAGGAAAATAATTTTTAATGCTTCAATGCAAATGGAATACACACTGATTAAATACAACTCAATGTTCTTTGAAAATATCTCACTGACAGCATTTGATACCAGTTAAGGCCAGCAAAACTGAAGTGAGGAAAATACCACATATATTGTCTTTTCATTGGTTTCATATATAATTGCCTATGACAATGGCAACTCAATTTTTTCTTTGAAAATTCCATTTATTGGTACCGATGAGCTCTGATTTGCTTTTAACTAGTATGCTTAAAAAGGGCTGCTGGCCACTTCCTCTTGGTGGTGCTGTCTGGCATAAACGGCAGAGAAGAAACACGTTTCTGGCTGTTTTTCCTGCTTCCTGAATTGGAGGGCTCAGGGCTTAGCCTGTTTCCTTCAATGTGTCACTGTGATCCTGGGACCTCTGCTGCTTCCGCTCCAGGAAGCGAGCACGTGCGTCTGATATGGATTTATCATCATTTCTTCTTTGCATTTTCTTTAGGACTTCTTTGGATATTCCATCTGAAAACATTAAAAATTAATCCAATAAAATTTTAGTTTTGAGTTCGGTATTACAAATGTTAAGAGAAAGAGATGCTCTGGTTTTTTAATGTTTAGCTGGGGGAAAGAGGAAATTAAATTTTGCCCTTTAAAAAGAAATGATACAAAGTCTCTGGTTAAAAATAAGAGTATAGAGGCCTGAGAAGTCAGAAAAATTGACCCTAATTCAAACAAGTGGTGCAGTTATTACGGTTGCTGTTGTTTAGTTGCTAAGTCATGTCTGACTCTCTTGCAACCCCACCAGGCAGGCTCCTCTGTCCATGGGATTTCCCAGGCAAGAATACTGGCGTGGGTTGCCATTTCCTTTTCCAGGAGGATCTTCCTGACCCAGGGATCAAACCCCCGTCTCCTGCATTGCCAGGCAGGTTCTTCAGCACTGAGCCATGAGTGAGCCCACAGTCCAGTTATACACTGTGACAAAGCACCAAGCAGTTAGCACTGCCAGTGACACTTCTGTCATCTTGGGCAAAATTCCCCCCATTCTATTTCCCACTGATGTTAAATAAGGATGATGCTATTTGTTCCATCAGCCTCAAAAAGTTTTGCTGAAAAGCCTTTTTTACATGTGAGCTGAGAATTAACCTTTCTGTCCTAGTTCACTACCACAACTGTTTATGCCTCCTGAAGGAAATGGTCCAAAAAATCAAAAACTAATGAGACAACTTAGTCATTTTATAGTTAAGTACAAAACTTTCTGGTTGCTGAGTAGTAATATTAACTACTGCAATTAGGGGCCTAACTTTTCAAGAAAAAAAAAAAATCTTTTGGGGGAAAAAAATGTTCTGAGGTAATATTTCACAAAATTTTTAAATGAAATAAAAATAGTAAAGCACTACTGGCAAGCAGTATGGCACAATGGTTGAGTAGAGGCCACAGAATCAAATTTCCTGGACTCAAAATCCAGATTCACCAAATATTAGCTTTGAGATTTTCAGCAAATTATTGTACACTGCTAAGTATTTCCTCAGCCATACAGTAGGGATATGTAGTTACTTCATATAGTTATTGTGGAAATTTAATGGGGTTATATAAGTTGTTAGCACATGGCAAAAGTTCAATAGATATTATTAATAATGCTGCTGGACAAAGGGGTTAAGAAAAACATGACTAACTGGAAGGAAAGAAGGATGTCAAAGTACGTCTGATGCTCATGACAACTGTTTGCTTTTCTGAGGAGGCAGAGCCAGAACCTAAGCTCTGTGACAGCATTTCTGCAACTATATGAGAATCTGGACACCTATGCTCTAGAACAAGTGATTCACTCACCCTTCCGGTGCTTTACATTTTCCTTATTGGTCCATCTCCTTCGTGCATCTTCTCTCACTTCACGTCGGGCCACACTGCTCAAATCATGTGCATTAAATTCATGCAACTTGGGCAGCAAGTCTCTCACCCATTCATAACGAATTGGACACACAATTCTTGCATAGACTTTGGTGGTAACTAATACCTCATGAAAAATGATCCATTCAAGTTTGGTTTCCTGTTCATGAAGCTACACAAAAGAATTTGTTTAAGGATGACAACTCAATAACCTGCCTTATTCCAGATTAGACCAACCAAACATTAACAGCCTAAAGTTTTCTGAGTTAATTTCTATATTCTTCAGTCAAACAAGAGGCACACATTGACCAACACCTTTATGTAATATAGATATATGCTAAACATATCCTCACATCTCTTTTTTCAGAAAAAAAGTAGAAGACATCTGTATGTTACTTATTTCTACATCTTTACAAAAGGAAGAAATTTATACAGCTTCCTTTACAAAAGGAAGAAATTTCTTCCTATTAGTAAAAATTAAGGTACTTACTGCTGAGGAAGGATGAATATGAACTGGGCTTCCACGCCCATCCATTGTGCAAAATGTTCTCCCAACAGACCTAAGAACCGAAAAACCAAAGGATCAAAGACAAGAACAGTAAAAACAATTAAATAAGTAGAGCACTACCAATGAAAAAGTATATGTCCTACTACAAGGAGTACTATATGGAGAGGTTTATATTTAACTGTCCCTGTAACTTCTCTACCAATTCATCTTAAAACTAATGATCCAGGGAATTCCCTGGTGGTCCAGTGGTAAAGACTCTCTGATCTCACTGCCGAGGGCCTGCATTTGATCCCTGGTCAGGGCACTAAAATCCCTGAAGCAATGCAGTGCAGCCAAAAAAAAAAAAAACTAATGAGACAACTTATTATAGTCATTTTACTTAAGTACAAAACTTTCTGGTTGGTAAGTAGTAATATTAACAATAATATTGTATTTGTGCTTTAGAATTTCCAAAATGCTTTCACAATGAAGCATCAAATAAACCTACTAGTTTTGACAGCCAGATACTTTATTAAAAGATCAAAACTGAGATTCAAATAAATTAGATAGCTTTCTCAAGGTCAAAGAGCTAATGTATGGTGAAAGCAAGCCCCAAACATAGGTCTTTGGACATAAATACAGTATTCTTTACATTGTATTATACTACATCTCCTTTCAAATGTATAAATCATTTTCACCATTCTAAAATAGAGAATTAGAACAGTTCATCTATATAATTTTTCTTTTCTTTCTATAATTTTTCTAATTCCTATTAACTTTATAAATTCTTACCCTCTTCTATACTTCCTACATAAAGATTATTCCAAAAGCTTATCAGAATAAAACCTCAGCTTAATCACACAACTGATTGCCTATAAAACTTTACATATATATTCCTATTATAACCCAGGTCAGACTGTATTATAATTATTTGTATATATATCTACACAGTCCATATTTGGACAGTACAAAAATCTTTTCACTTGAATAAAGTGAAAGTTAGTCACCAATCTTATGCTCCATCATCCCCAAATACCTAAGTGTGCATTTCCTATAATCAAGAATATTCTCCTACATAACCGTCATAAAACCATCAAAACCAAGAATTAACACTGATACATTCAGTTCAGTTCAGTCGCTCAGTCGTGTCCAACTCTTTGCGACCCCATGAATTGCAGCACGCCAAGCCTCCCTGTCCATCACCAACTCCTGGAGTTGACTCAAACTCACGCCCATGGAGTCGGTGATGCCATCCAGCCATCTCATCCTCTGTCATCCCCTCCTCCTCCTGCCCCCAATCCCTCCCAGCATCAGGGTCTTTCCCAATGAGTCAACTCTTCGAATGAGGTGGCCAAACTACTGGAGTTTCAGCTTCAGCATCAGTCCTTCCAATGAACACCCAGGACTAATCTCCTTTAGGGTGGACTGGTTGGATCTCCACTGATACATTACTAGGATCTAATTCTCAGGACCCACTGAAGTTTTATCAAATGTCCTAACAATATCCTTTATAGCAAAAGGACCCAGTTCAGAAATCATGTATTGCCTTTACTTTTTATGGTCCTTTAGTCTCCTTCATTCTGGAAAACATCCCCCAGTCTAGCTTTGACCTTCAAAATCTTGACACCTTTAAGGATTTATAGGCTAGTTATTTTGCAGTATGTTCCTCAATTTGATTTTGTCTGTTTTAAGACGATTAGACTCAGGTTACAGATCTGTGGCAGGAATATCACAGAAGAGATGCTCTGTTTTCATTATATCCTATCAGAAGGAACAAGATTTTGATTTACTTCATTTCTGATGTTCACTTTAATTGTCTGATTTAGGTAACGTCTGCCAGGCTTCTTCACTGAGAAGTTAACTTTTTCCTTTTGTAATTAACAAGAATTTTCTGAAGAGGTGCTCAACTCTGTAAATAATTCCATTTGTCATTAAACTTCTAATTTATTCATTCATTTATATGATTATAGGCCCAGGATTTCACATTTTATCCAAGTCCATTACTATCAGTATTACGCATGTCAAAATATCCCATCTTCGATCAGCCTGGGCCTATTCAAACTGGCTCCTCTGTACTTGGTCACATGGCCTCCGCCTTCACTGATGACCACTTTGCTTACAGGTAAAATAAGATGTTTTGGGCTTACTGTGTACTTTCCAGACCTATTTCTCCAAAGGTCCTTTATGTGGCAGATGGTTGTTCCAAGTCAAAATCTATGCAGAGGGACTTCCCTGGTGGTCCAGTGGCTAAGAATCAGCCATGCAGTGAAGGGGACACGGGTCTGATCCCTGTCAGGGGAACTGAGATACCACATTTCTCAAGGTAGCTTTCTCAAGATTAAAGAGCTAATATATGGTGAAAGCAAGTCCCAAACATAGGTCTTTAGACTTAAATACAGCATTCTTTACATTTATTATATTACATCTCCTTTCAAAGGTATAAATAATTTTCACTATTCTAATATATGATAATTAGAACAGTTCATCTATAATTTTCCTAATTCCTATTAACATTAAATTCTTATCCTCTTCTGTACTTCCCTACATAAAGGTTATTCCAAAAACTCATCAGAATAAAGCCTTAGCTTAATCGTTACAACTGGTTTCCTATAAAACTTTACATATATTCCTGTGGAGCAACTGAGCCCACGGGCTGCAACTGCTGGGCCTGAATGCCACAACTAGAGAGTCTGTCCACGTGCCACGATGAAGGATCCTGCATGATCCAACAAAGATCACAAGTGACGAATCTAAGACCTGACACAGCCAAAAATAAAAAGAAAACATCTGGGCACAAAGTATATTCATTGCTATTATAGTTATTGCTCCTAGTCCTTCTCATAGTTAGCTTACATAAATATTTACAGACACACAAATACATATCATACACACTCACACACAGAGTAACACCTATTTTTTATTACAGTATCTACCTATCCATCCACTTAACTGTATTAAAAACTGTAATATCGGTGTGGGGGTGCGGGGTGGGGGAAAAAAAAACTCTAATATCTAAAATTTCAATCAATACCACAGGGCTCCTTCCTGTTTTCTTTTAGTATTTCTAACTCCCTTCACCATTTACTTTAATGTATTCAGGTACGTGATCAACTCCTCTGTATATAACGAATCTCCCATCACCACCACTCTTACCCCTTTCCCCACAAAGATGCCCTTCCTCTGCTCAGACTGACATTCAAACAACCAAACAACTCCCATGTGACTACCTCGCCCAATCCTGCTCCAGAACTGACAGCCCACACCAAACCATCCTTCATCAGGGACGCCACCCTTGACCTATTTGGCTTTCACACTCCACAAAGAGTCACTCCTCTGCAAGAACACCACTGTCCCCCAACTTGGGCACTAATACCCCAAGCTGGACAGCGGTCCTAGAGACTCCCCTCCTCCCCACGTGAGTTTCAATATCCCACTCTCAGCCACCACAGCTCCCCCTGCAGAGCTGACAGTTATGAGAAGGCTCACTGTAACTGATGTCGTCAGAAGCACAGAGCTTAAATCAAACTGTCTTTAATATTAAATAGTTCAATATGGTCATCAAATACAGTTATATTTCTCTATCTGTCTCTCAAGCTCCTAGTGCTTACCTTCGAGCTACATTTTTGAAATAACCCGCACAAAGACATCTTCGCAGGACTTCATGTTTAGGGCCTTCAAAGGTCTCTCTTGGGAAATCACTTTGCTATTGACAGAATAAATGTATAGTGGTAAGTCTCACAGAACAATTTGAAACAATCTTTTGGTTTGAAAACTCCAAATTTCTAAAGACTTCTATTTCTGGCCGATATGGAATATGAGGGACCAGATTTACCCTTCTGCTTGAAACAACCAAAAAAATGGACAAAACAAATGAAATAATGATTTCCAAAGCACTATATGAAGGGCAATGGTGTCTGAGAAATAAACGAAGGAAAAAAATGAATTAACTCCAACAACTGTTCCAGCCTACAGTCAACCTAGAGATTCTGGACCAAGGTGGAGGAAAGGAAACACTGGAGTGAAACCTGGAGAACTCCCCGAGTTAAACAGACAGAGCTGAAAATCCAGAGAGACCAGGATGGCTAGAATTCCCAGCCAGAGTTCAGGAGAGAAGTGATCTGCAGAGGACCCCAGAGATCTACAGGAGGGCTTCAAGAGTTCAGCTAAGAACTGACAAGCACATGAATGTGAGGAAATTACCCAAGGCCAGGAAAAGAGCCTCCCAAAAGGATAAGGGACAACAGAGTTGTGTGCACAGGGTCAGTGCCTGTTCCTACACCTTATAATACACGTGGTTTTAGGGAGAGAACTCAGAAGGCCTTGCCAAAACTCCAGGCAAGAGAAAAAAAAGCCAAGCAATCACCTGTTTAAGCTTCCTGATCAGTTCTCTGAGTTGAGCTTCAACACGAAATGCAGAAAATAAGCACCTCCAATGAATCCAATGTTTCTGGCACCATGAAGCTGGAGCTCCACTGCAACACAAAAATACTGGTGTATCAGAAGTATCTTTCATAAGGGAAAGACAGTCTAACATTCTCATTTCTATTATACAACTAGAAACAGATAAGCAACTGTCAGCTCTCTTATGCTGCTGCTGCTGCTAAGTCACTTCAGTCGTGTCTGACTCTGTGCCACCCCATAGACGGCAGCCCTCCAGGCTCCACCATCCCTGGGATTCTCCAAGCAAGAACACTGGAGTGGGTTGCCATTTCCTTCTCCAATGCATGAAAGTGAAAAGTGAAAGTGAAGTCGCTCAGTCATGTCCGACTCTTCGCGACCCCAGGACTGCAGCCCACCAGGCTCCTCTGCCCGTGGGATTTTCCAGGCAAGAGTACTGGAGTGGGTTGCCATTGCTTTCTCCGCTCTTTTATGAGACCTGTCCAATTAATAAGAAAACACTTTAAGGAATATGAAAAAACAAATTAATACACCTCTAAGTGAATTAAAATAACTTGTAAATAGATTTCTTTTTATACATATATGCTTTAACAAATATCCAATAATTTTCTCATCTAAGCTAGTTATACAGAACCCAATTCCATGAGATCAGTTTTCAGGAAAGGTTAAGGAGAGAAAACACAATAAATGATGGTCACAGTCACCTCACAGAGAAATCTCACTAATGTTCACAAAAATACACTGAGGTCAGTATAATCCCCACTGAAACTTACTGTCTGAAGTCATATTCTTACTGAAGCTATATTTCAAACTAAGCCTCTCCAGTTCAAAGAACTATCTCACATACCTTGATTTGCACTGCTCAAAGATGACGGCTAAAGTTGCAAAGTCATTAAATCCTCCAGCTTTAGCGGCCAACTCTCGGTGTCTCTGCTCTGCTTCCTTCTGGTACTCTGGATCAACTAAAACGACAGTTGGAAAGGCGGTTTAGTTCCACTTTACATCAAGTCTCCTTCTTCACTTAGTTTATTCAAGCTTATTGAAATCTGCCTCACCCTCTGAGGTGGAGTAAAGGAGAATGACATTAAGTCTTCGGTGGGGGAGTGTGAACCTCTAACTACTCCCACAATTCCTTTTCCTCCTTAATCACACTTTGGAGATTTTTGCTAGAACACCAACATTACTTCTCTTAATGGATTTACCTTTCAAAGAGTATTTAGAATTTACTATTTGTTTTTACCGTAAGAGTAACCCATGTTCACATTAAAAAAAAAAAAAAGCAGAAGTTTAATGTTCCCCACTTTGTCGCATTATCCACAAGTCAATCCTCAGGGCTAACCACTGTTAACTATTTAGTATGTGTCCTTTAAGATATTTTCTACATATATACATACAAGCATTGTGTATGATGGTTTATTTTCTTCTTAAGTTTCTTCTGATAACTTCTTTTATTTATTTAATAAAAGTAAATAAGCATGTATAGAACTATTCATTCTCAAACATACCTACATTGTGTTTCTCAGGGGTGTAAGGATATAACACAATTTAACCCACCCCTGTTTATCCAATTCCTAATTATAGACAATTAGACAGAACCATCACATATGTAAAACTGAAATACTACAAACTTTTTTAATTTTATACTGAAAAATATCATGCATACAGAAAACTACACAGGTTCTAAGTGTACTGCTCAATGAATATTCACAAATCCAACATACGAATGAATGTACTCAACAGACAGATCAACAAGCAGAATATTACCAGCATCCCAGAGCCCCTTCTTCACTCTCCTTTCAATAACTACTCAGTCCCCTCCACAAGGACAACCATATTCAGACTTTTAACCCAATGAAAGGGTTTATTTGTTTTTAAACTTTATATAAATTTACTTTATGTGTCTGGTTTCTTTTGCTCACCCTTATGTTTCTGAGATTTATCTGTTACTGACTTTGACCCAATCCCACTCAGGAATTATATGTTCTCTGATTGCCCAAATTCCCCACATAGTACTTTACCCAGGCTAATCTTCTTTCGGAGTCCCCTGGCCACAATTTTTTTTCCTCAAAATTTCCTAGGGCTTCTTCCTTCACTGCACAACATCAAGCCACAGCTCCTATTATACCCACCACAGCTAGACTGAACAGAGGCCCCATGTCACCGAATTCGAGGGAGCAGCACTTACACAGACTACAATGTGAATCTGCAAAGCATCAGTTCCTGGTATTAAGAAGAATGCAATCTGATTAAACAAAACACTCACGAAATATAAAGTCTTCCATCCCAGGCTTTAAGTAGTTTCCACCTAAGTAACCTGGGTAACAACTGAAGGAATCAGCTAGAGACAAAAGGAGAGCAAATATGATTTATCACAGACCACACAAATGGTCCTGTCAAGGTAAAGACACAACCCTCATCTCTTGAATCGGTCATGAGTATTGATTTTTTAAGCTGAAATATCTAATTTTGTCTAATTATCTAATAGTATCTAATTTATCTAACAGTATCTAAAGGTACTATGCCAAAGGACAAAATGCACTAAAGTAAAGCATTAACTATGTGCTGGCTCCAGCACTAAGAGACAAGCTTATCTATCAACCAGGGCCTCCGACATCCTCGAATGGTGGTACCCCCTGCTACATAAACATAGAGTCCCTGCTGCCTCGGACTTCTGCGCTATGAAGCCTCAGAGAAGCCTCTTTATGGCTCAGTTCTCTTCTCTGACTTCACCTGACCCTAGAAACATTCAGTTTGGCTGCAACACCTATCACTATTCACACAAACGGCTTACCATTTCTTATTAAAATGTCAGAGTAACTACAGGAAGGGCTTCCCAAATGGGTCAGATGATAAAGATTCTGCCTGCAATGCAGTAGACCCCGGGTTGATCAGGGGTCAGGAAGATCCCCTGGAGAAGGGCATGGCTATCCACTCTAGTATTCTTGCCTGGAGAATCCCATGGACAGAGGAGGTTACAGTCCTTGGGGTCAAAACAAGTTGGACAATCAATTTTAGTGGTTACAATTCTAAACTCAGTTTACACTTTGTGATGATTAACTCTGCACGGTCAGTGCTGGATCTCTGTTGCTCATGGTGGCTGCCTGCTCACACTTGAAAACATGTACAGAGCCCCCTGCTTTCCGGGCTGTCCTTCCCACACAGCTACTACCTTCTCTCTCTCTCTCTCCCCCGTTATTCTCAAAGCCAAGAGAAAATATAGAGCATATTTTTCTTTCTTTTCCTCAACTCTTCCCTCAGAAACAACCTAATTAATTAAAATTAAAACTGACAGAAGTCCCAAAGTAAACTCAGGAAATGTAGAAAAGTAAAAATACCATTATCACACACAGTTCCGACAATCTCAGCCAGTTCATCCTCTGACTGAACAATAGTTTGACTATCTAACTTTAATTACTTTCCCAGTAGACTTGTCATTTCCTTTAATTTTTTATCTTTCCCCAGATGAAATTCTATTATCAGTTTTACCTCAGACAAATAATGCTCTGAAGTAAAAACCATCAACAAGGAACTGAAGCAGCAAAACAAGACTGTAGACTGTGTCAGCTTAACTTCTTCCTTTGGGAAGATAATTCAATACTTTTCTACATACAATCAACCAGAAAACAAAACTATTACAAGGAAAGTTTCAGTAACAACAATCCTCAGGGCAGAAGCAGGGCAGTGAGGCTGTAATAAAGTACCACTTATCTCTAAATATATCACAGTTAAAATATTTTTTAAAAATTTAAAACCAACACAATGTTATTTTAAATTTGTTCCATTTTAAGGGAATGCTGTTTACCATCTTAAAAACATTTAAGAGCCCTCACTCCACTGTTTGACTTCTAAAGCAATATCTATACTAGCAGACATTGTGTACACAGCTTACTATAGCAAGAGAGAGATTACTAAAAATGTTGACGGCATCATCATTTTGATGTTTAAAAATCTTCATTCAACGTTAGATCTGAAAATACTAGCCAGTTTTACCAGTAAGTATAATAAACTGGGCTTCCCAGGTGGTACTAGTGGTAAAGAATCTGCCTGCCAATGTAGGAGATGGAAGAGACGTGGGTTTGATCCCTGGGCCAGAAGGAGGAAATGGCACCCTATTCCAGTATTCTTGCCAGAAGAATCCCACGGACAGAAGAGCCTGGTGGGCTGCAGTCCATGGGGTCGCAAGGAGTCAGACACAACTGAGCGTCTAAGCAGAGCAGACACAGTAAACTAAATTAGGTGATCTACAAAGACTAAGACCCAAGCCAGAAAGAACTGCTTAACCTATAAAGACTACATATGCACTTGAAAGCAACTGGACGACAAATACATATTTTGGGATGTTACAAGATCACAGCAAGTCACATGCTCAAAAACTGAAGCTGCATTTTGTAGCACCTGAACTTCTTGATGATCTAAGTTTAAAAATTAAGCCTAAGCCACATATGTGCATATAAGAAGAGTGTCTCTCTAAGCATGAATAAGAAACTGATAGCAATTGTTGCCTCAAGGAATGGATTTGGAGGAAGCCAAGGAATGCCCCTGCCAAGGTATCTAACTTTATTTAGATCAGCCTATGTAGCAATTTGTGCTCCAGGACACTGTCAAAAACAACAGATCAATCAGCTAGCAATCTGGGGAGACTAACAGCTTGGTGTAATACCAACAGAGGCAGGTCAGCAAAAATTGACGCAGAGCAGCCAGACTTTAAAAATGGCTTTTATTGAAGTATAGTTGATTTACAATATTATATCAGTTTCAGATGAACAATAGTATAGTGATTCAATATTTTTATAGATTATACTTCATTTNGACTCATTGGGAAAGACCCTGATGCTGGGAAAGATAGAAGGCAGGAGGAGAAGGGGACGACAGAGGATGAGATGGTTGGATGGCATCACTGACTCGATGGACATAAGTTTGAGTAAGCTCCAGGAGATGGTGAAGGACAGGGAAGCCTGGTGTGCTACAGTCCGTGGGGTCGCAGAGTCGGACATGACTGAGTAACTGAACAACAAATACTTCATTTAAAGCTATTACAAAATAATGGCTATATTTCCCTGTGCAATAAAATATACCATTTTTGCTTGTTTATTTTAAACATAGTAGTCTGTATCTCTTACTCCTATATCCCAAACTTACCTGCCCCTGCTTCCCTCTCCACACTGGTAATCATTATTTCTTTCTCTATCTCTGTAAGCCTGTTTCTGTTATTTATATAAATGCATATGTGGTAACTCAGATGGTAAAGAATCTGCCTACAATGCAGGAGACCTGTGTTCGATCCCTGAGTCATGATGACCCCCAGGAGAAGTCGATGGCAACCCACTCCAGGATTCTTGCCTGGAGAATCCCACGGACAGAGGAGCCTGGCAAGCAGGCTACAGGGTCACAAAGAGTTGGACACAACAGCACAAATAACACACTATTTTCTTTTTTTAGGTTCCACATATAAGTGATAATAGAGCATCTGCCTTTCGCTATCTGACTTCATCCACATTATTGCAAATGGCAGAATTTCACTCTGTTTTATGCCCAAGATAAATATATTCTATTGTGTGTGTGTGTGTATTTTTTCTTTGCCATAGGAGACAGATCCAAAAAAATATTGCTACAATATATGTTAAAGAGTGCTCTGCTTGGTTTCAGGTCTTCCTTTCAGGTCTTTAATCCATTTTGACTTTATTTTTATACATGGAGTGAGAAAACATTCTAGTTTCATTTCTTTATACATTCTTTTTCATACAGTCCACATGTATGTATGTAGCTGTCTAGTTTTCCCAGCACCATTTACTGAAGAGACTGTCTTTTCTCCATTGCATATTCTTGCCTCCTTTGTCACAGATTAATGAACCGTAAGTATATAGGTTTATTTCTGGGCTCTCTGTTTCACTGATCTAAGTGTCTGGTTTTTGTGTGTGTGTGCCAATACCAGGATGTTTGATTACCGCAGCTTTGTAGTACACTCTGAAGTCAAGGA